ATACGATATTGATGAGACAACGAGCATTGACAGTTTGCAGCATGATAAGCATCAACAGCAGCAAGAACAACACCAACAAATTATTGGACCAGACTTTGATTATGTGAATTTTCGTAATGTGTCGACCCTTGTTGATAACACCGCATATTTAAAGTGCTATGTCAAAAATATTGGCAATAAAACCGTATCATGGGTGCGCCATCGCGATATAAATTTGCTAACAGTTGGAACGACATCGTATACATCAGATAGTCGTTTTCAAAGTATCCATGATGCTGACAGCGAAGAATGGATATTGAAGGTATTTATAGAATTTTTGTGAATTGTTCTATAGTTTTTATTAGATGCTCAGGATGCAGAATCAAACTCACAACTGATAAGGTCCACATCAAGGCTAAAATTAACGAGCAATTCCTTCAGTTCAATGATATCTCCTTAATTTGATTTTAATTAAATCAATGTCAATTTTAATGTGTTCTCTTCGTGGTTACAGATTCGATATTCGCAAGTCCGTGACAGTGGGTATTTCGAATGTCAGATATCTACAACTCCACCACGTGGCTATGCAATTTATTTGAATGTAGTAGGTACGCATGAGTGACAATCGCTTTTAACTATATATGAGAACGTTTAACGACAATAATTATTTTTTGCATGCTTTAGAACCACTCACATCAATCATTGGAGGACCTGATGTATACATTAATTCTGGGTCAACAATCAATTTGACATGCATCGTTAAAAATTCACCAGAATCACCGTTTGCTATGTTTTGGACGCACAATAACATTGTAAGCTGATTGATGAGTTATCTATAAATGTAATTAGTCAAATGAACATATGTAGCGTTTTCATCTGCGGATTTTAATAATTGATGATAAATAATCTACGTTTGAATATTTAATTTAATTGCGAATGAATTCTAGCTGCTCATTATATTATTACATAGCTTCAAAAATGTGAAATATTCAATTGAAAATTTAAGTTTAAAACTTTTATTAAAAATTGAGAACTCAACAATTATCAGAAATATACAAAATTTACAGCATAATAGATGAATACTTTTAACAGCTTTTATGTTGCAAATTTTTGCGCCAACGCATTCTTCATTTATTTGAGAGCACTATAGGATATTACACTAGACTGAATAATTAAGCTATTTAACATTTTTTTCATTTTAATTGCACTTAATTGCATTTATTGACGACATACTGTCCGGATTTGCGAAGTTGTTCGTATTATGTGAATTCAAATGTGTTTATTGAGTATTTTTAAGAGCCTTCAATAGCCATGAATTGCGATGCTGTAGAAAATTCGCTTGAAAATCCAAAACTAGTTGAAATGTTTGTAGACATTTTAACCTGATTTCAAAAGAATCCTAAGGAAATTTGTAATTACATGAATAATTTAATAGCTTATACTTCGGTGTATGTAGATCTACCTATAACTGCCATATTTGTATACTAATTTGAAACAAGTCGGGTTCGATGGGAATCGAACCCACGACCTTAAAAGATCAGAGATCCCTGCCACTTGACTACCGATGTACTTATCTCAGTTCGGCTATCCGTCATACACATATAACCAATTCCAACGCGAGCACTATGCTCAGGCCTATCTACTACAGATGTGCTCTTCGATCCATATCCACAGTGTACATCAACAACATCTCAGCTCTTAAAAATCAACAAAAGCAACATATTTTTTAATTGACGGCACATATGAATGATCCCTGAAGAACATTATTAAATTTTCAACTCATGCCAACGATACGAAGTCACAATAAAAAATATTTCAATTATTTTCTCTTGATGCTTATTTTCAGGCAACATCAAATTACTATAGTGTACGAAATTATGTCTTTAGTATGAATTAAATTAATGAAAAATATTTTCTCATTTGCAAGATTCTAAAAATGAGCGACCATTACAGTCATTTTTCAATTATATAAAATTTACACAAATTGGGGAATGTTTTCTCGTTTACTTGCTCATCAGCTCCATTCGAACATAAAAAATTATGATAATTTTTGAGAAAAAAGATGAAAACGCTTTTATGAAGACTGAAGGAAAGATAATTTTCTTATTAATAAATATCGTTTAGTTCTACCCTCAATTTCATTTATATTCACAATATCTCATCTCGTTCCTTTTCATATTTTTTTTCTTCGCTGTATACACAAAAATACACAGGAAATCAACTTTGATTCAGAACGCGGTGGAGTGAGTGTCATTACAGAAAAAGCTGATGTTACAACATCATATCTCTTGATACAAAAGGCGAGAGCATCAGATTCAGGTCAATATACATGCTCACCAAGTAATGCAAACAGCAAGAGTGTGAATGTACACGTATTAGCGGGTAAGTGTGGTTCATTGTTCTCATATACGCAGTCATAGTGTTTAATGAGTGTGAGTTAAATTTCATACTATTTAGCGCACATGATTTATGCTTGAGGGGATAAATATAGTGAGATTGATAGCTATGTGTAGCTACTTTTGATATTGAATATGGAATTTTTGCTATTGGCTGTAATCGAACTGCTGAATTTGACATCATATTGCAGTTGCAGCTTGAACCATAATCAATTTTAGAAACAGATTTAAACCGAATTCTTTGAGTCTGTATTCGAGTTGGATTATTCAGAGAGCATCTTGTTTCAAAAAGTTTAAGTCATTAAAATGTTTAATAGTTTTAAAAATTAGCATTTTTAGCAATTTTTCAATCGCCACTTTAAAACAGCTAATTAATGACCAAAACTGGACATCACAACAAAATCAAAAGATCCCTTAAGCCAAATTTTAAATATTTCCCTTCAAAGCATCCTAAAAGTGCGCTAATCAACAACCACATACACATGATAACTTTCCTACATGCTCATGAAATATGAACACGAACATTAAATATTCTAGATTTATTCCGCACAGCTTCATAATTACAAAGCATTAATCCTCATCCTATCATCCGTTTTTATTTATACTTTCAGGTAGTAATCCTGAGGCAATGCATGGATCGGTAAAAAATCTACATCTGAATGTATTTATTATAGCTATAAATTTATCGATTTTCCTATTTTCCAAATTTATTCATAATATTTATTCGATATCATAGTTATTCTAATTTTAAGAATGAATAATATGTTAGGCAGAAAAATGTATGTTTAAAGACTGGAAATAAAAAATAGAGACAAAAAATTATGAGTAAAAAATATATATTTTCAAATTCACATCCCTTTTGGGCTGTTTTTTAATGTGCCTCCTCTTTTTTCGGTATCTACGGATGTATAAATATTTTTTCAGTCATACATTCCATGGGAAATAGGAAAATACTCAAAAGTGAAGGCAAGCAAAGGTTGTTGGCAAGTTTAAAAATATATCAAAATTAATTTTGATCTTCTGTGAAGAGCTTCAGTAATGGAACAGCAAACAATCTAGACAATTTCTTAACATTGATTCAATAATTAATGATTGACATGTGAATTGGAAAGGGTTGAAAGTCTTACAGCGACATGATACAGTAATTAGTTTTAATTGGTGCTACAAATACTAATTAAACTTGTCATAAAATTAATAAGCTATCAAGTTTGTAAGTAAATATTATGGAAATAATACATATTTAATAATTTCAAATGAGAAATAAAAGAAAAATGTTTCTAGAAAGGAAGGTAAATCTAATTAAGGCTAGCTTTGAACTTAAGCTTGTGAGAACTTTGATTAATAGCTACTAGTTCATACTAGCTATACTACTTCGAAATTATAATGATCAAAATAATTAACAAGAAGTTTTACTGAGAATCGAACTCGAGAGCTATGTTGGTGTTGCATTAATCAATGAAAGAAGTGAAAAAGCACTGAACTTTACGTTTAAAAACCTTCCAAAAACACCCAGCAAAGATCAATAGTAATAATAATGTGTGAAGGGCACAGCCTTTCAGCTGGAGGAACCGCGATTCAATTTGTAAAGAATCTATTGTACCACACCCTTCAAACCTACAGTTTATAGTGGGATCTGAACCACTTGCAAGCTCTGCACATTGCAAAGGCACGAGTACGTAATAAGACCTAATGTACTCTGCAATGTTCCTAGTCACAATTCATGTGCGCAAGATGCCGTAAAGAAGTCATCAAGATGCTAGTATATCCTTGTATACCTAGCAAAAGAGACCTATTTTGTGTTAAAGACATCAATACTACACCCAACACACGAACCGAGCTTCGTAACTAGAAAAGTGAAATGGAAAAAGAACTTTGAAAATTAGACATAGCCCAGGATTGAACCCAGGACCTATGGAACGGAAGGCCAACGCTCTATCATTTAGGTAACTGATGCCATTTCATCGAACCAGCAAACAACAAGTTCCACTCAAATTTATGTGAAAAAAATTATTGCTGAATTTTTAAAATCTTCTTTTACATTTAAGATTTAATTAAAAAATAGGGTATATAAACTTTTGATAACCAAACCAATTAGCTCTCAAAACTAGAGCACATGATTGTTTTCGTCAAAAAAAATAATCAATAGAAAATCGCGCAGATGGACACCCAAGTCAAATAGTTTTCAATCAACTTAAAGTATGTGTCAATAAATTCAACCAAAAAGCTTTAAAGCTTTAATTTTATGCTGTAAAATTATTTAACGTTGTTTAAAATTTTAAAATTCTTTATTAAAAGTTTAAAATTATTAAAAACTCTTTATTAATTCAAAATTTCAGCATAAAGCTTCAAATATCCTAAATAAACCCCAAAGACAATTAAGAATGTCATCAATCCAACACCGAAAAACTATCAAGAACACCAAGAGTCCTCAAAACAACGAGAAAAAGAAGAATCCGTTCAAAAATTCAAATTTCCATCGACAATAACGAACGCACTCCAAATAGAGACAGAACAACAAGCGAGCGAGAAAGGAAGAAAACAAAATAAAATAAATTTCAAATCATCACACACAGCAAAGCTAGTTACATTCCCCTCACATTTTCTATCTCATTGTAAAGTATTTTGAAATTTTCTTACACTCAGTTGGAATCATTTCGTGAAGATAAACGGATCGCAAAAAATTTTAGCTACCGTCAAAGCCGAAAATTGAATCTGAATTCATAATTTTGATAATTTCCACAACTTTTGTGTGATAAAAAATTTAAAACATCAAAATAATCGCAGTAATCTGTGAAAAAAAAATTATTTTGTGTTTTTTTGTTCTTGTGAAAAAGAAGAAAAGTTTTTTAACGAAAATTTTGTAAAATTTATTGTGTTTTCAAGAATTTTTGGAATTAAATTCGCTCCAGCATCAACTCAGAGACTTAACAAGGTAAGACTTTAGTCATAGATTTTTACATTTCATTCAGAAATCATCGAAAAATTCAATAAGCCGAAAAAAATTAAGATGAATTTTTTTTTTCATTCATTTTCAAAAAAAAATAATAATTTTTGTGCGATGAGCATGCGTGCACATTAGAGATCAATGCTTTTTTGTTGTACCCCGCAAAGAGCTTTGTTTGACAATAAGTCGAATTTGTAAAGAGGAAAATTTCAAATTAAAGGAAATTTTCGAAACGTTTTTGACAGAAATTTGATAGAAAAAGTGATAAAAAATTGCCAAATTCAGCAGAATCTATCCCACGCACATAAAAACCAACAATAAAGGAGATTCGCAATAAAAATATAAAGAGGGTTGTTTGAGTACAGGAACAAACATTTCATTGACAAGTAGGTAAAAAAATTGTTAATTCGCATGGGGTTGAATTTCGATTTTTGTGACTCAAGAATTTCATTACAATTAAAATCCCTTGAGTACGTGTTTTCGGTGAATTCTTAAATCTTTTAGAATTTTATACAATTTCACCCTTGTAATATTTTTTTGTCAGAATCACAAATAAGTGTAATTCATAAACTGTGAGCCTTTACTTACAAATCGAGTAACATTTTAAGCCTTAAACTCTAACATTGCAAAATCTACTCAAAATCCTCACAAGGGGACGTCATGACATTACCGTCACAATCTCTTCAGCATGAGAAAAACATTAGAAAAATGTGTCTGGATACCATTTTGTAAGACACATAAAAGAATCATGTGCATTTTTTTCCGAGACACTTGAATTTGACTATCAATAGCTCGTAATGCATTAAGCCATAACATTTCATATAGAACGGTATTATATTTGAACCAATTAATATTTATGTGTAAACTCAGAGGGGACCTATTTATTTTTTCATAATTATGTTATATTTTTTTTTTTCTCTATTCTTGGCTTCTGAGCATGTCCTGCCGGCAAATACGTGTGCCTATATACAATCAAATTGAATATAAAAGGGGAATATATAGGGAGTGAATATTTATGAACAAAATGATCATGAACTTCATGCAGTATGGACAATAAATGATAGTGAAATGTGATGTGTGTATTTTTGAAGGTCAAATTTTATTTTTGGAACTGCAGTTGCGTGTGTGATATGTGATATATCTGTTAACGGGAATAAATACAGCAGCAGACGCAATAAAAGGTGTTTAATTTTATTGTGAATCGTAAAAAAAAAGTTCAGCCAGACAGTTCTGCTGCATAGTTTTGAAATTATTCGTGACTCATGAAAAATTCAGCTAGCTAAAGTATTTGAAAAAAATACTCAAGACAAAAGCTAGTCAAATCAAAGTTTCATATCCAAACTCGATTCTTATCTTTCTGGCTTCCTTCATTCATAATCCAAAATGTAAATAGAAATGCATTTCAGACAGAAAATCGGTTCAAAGAGGATGACGAAAAATATAAATAACATTGAGATGGGGAAGTTTAAAGAGACGAAAACAGATTTGTCATCAAGAATTCATAAACATTCTCACATGTTTAGCATTTTTTTCGTTATTTTGTTTTTGTTTCCTTTTAAAGAGATGTGAGTTGATGCCATGCGATGCGTCAAGGATAGAAGATGAATGAGTTCTGGGGATTTATGTTTTCATCTTTTTCTGGGGGATGTCTCTCGTCAGATTTTAGTTCCTTAGCATCATATGGGGCATAGGATGCATTCACTAGTGATAAACGAAGGCAAGGGTCAGACACTCCAAAAGTATTGTAATGTTTTGTACAATACTTTACAATACATATGAAAGTATTGTAAGTATTGTACAATACCTACAATACTTACAATACTTGTATGACAAGTATTGTAGGATTGTACAATACTTACAATTCTTACAATACTTGTATGGAAAGATAGTTTTTTTTACAAGATAGTTTGAGAAACATTTGTCATATGAATTTGATAATAATTTACGGTTTTTGTGTAGTTTCTCGTGTTTCTTTACATTCTTTGAACCAAAATTTGATAAAAATACATAATTAGCAATTTTGAACTAAATATTTTTAAGTTTTAATTGAAATTTTATAGTTCTCCAAAAATATTCAGTCTAAAACATATACAAATATTGTAAAAATATTTCTATACAAAATTTTTGGTAATAAAGTCATTTTTCAAAATTGTCAATAGCAAAAAAGTATTCTGGCTCGAAACAAAGGCGATATAACGACAGATGCAGCCAAAAATATCAAACATTATTAACGAAAACATAGATAAGATGAGAAAATTAGACATTAGTCTCCTCATATTAGAGGAATTTTAACGTTTGCTACAATTTTGTAGAGGTAATACCGAGGTTTAGTTTTTTTTACAGCGCTTTAAGTCATATCATAACATTGCTATGCCTCGATTTAAATTTGTTTCTTTAAAGTTAACTTTGCTTTTAGTAAGGACATTTTTCATCAGAAATTTTCAGAGAATCTTCCTAAAATGATATATCTTTTTGTATTAGCTAGGCATTCACGATTTCCCGGACCCAAAAAATTGTCGGGAACTGGACAAAAATTTAAATTCAAATATCAAACATGCTCCTGAAAATTTGGAAGATTTTTTTGTGTTTAAATGATGAAACTTTTCAATTGAGATAATTTGACATTAAAATTTTTTGGATAACTATTTTTATTCATCGAGTTTCTGTCCCAAAAATTTCGGGAACAGGAAATCGTGAAAGTCTAGTATCAACTATAAGAAATAAAAAAATAAGAATAATTTTGGCAAAGAAAGAAGAAAATATACAGTTTTATATTGTCTTAGAGATGCAGTTGTTGACAATATGTATTTTCAAAAAAAAAATGCTTTAAAAACCATTTGATAAGTTTGTTAAATTTGATTCTTTCTTAATCGCCTTCTTGTCAAAGGTAAAAAATTCAAATCGTCAAAGTAATGTTTGAATACACTTAAAACCTTATACTTTGATCAAAAAATTTGTATAAAATGTAATTCAGTTTGCTATAAAGATCGATAAATCTTGTGAAAATGAAACCAATCTATTTAATTTTGATTCCTTATTGACATTAGTTTACATAATAAACTTCGTACCTGTATGGTTTTATGCATGAGAATTGTATGAAATCAATTCTTGATTTGCTTCAGTCTAGCTTTACAAAAGAATTTTGAACTTTTTATCATTTTTATAGCCATTACATAATCAGAAATTCTCTCTTTTATTAGAAAACTGAAATTTGTGCTAGTTTTTCATAAAATACTCCTGCTAATTTTCAATAATAATGTTAATTTATCAAAAAAAAATGTTATTTATCTTATTTACTAAATTTGGTTTTACAAATTGTTGAAAACAAAAAAATATGTAATTTCTTTTAAAATTTGGTTCTTAAATAATTAAATTTCAGTATTGTAAGTATTGTAAAGTATTGTAAATTTATATGAAAAGTATTGTAAGTATTGTACAATACTTACAATACTTACAATACTTATATGGCAAGTATTGTAAGTATTGGAGGTATTGTACAATACCGTACAATACTTTGGAGTGTCTGACCCTTGAATGAAGGGTCCAGAAACAGCAATTCGAATCAATGACTCTTGTACATCTTAATAAAAGGTTTTTATACCTTTAAATGCAACATTTCATATAAGTCGTTCACATATTGATTTTCATGAAGCATCTACTTTTTCTTTTTGATGATTAGTGTTTAGTAGGGTCACAAGGCTTTCATTTGTTTTCATCATTGCGTTAGTTCGGTTCTAAAGCATCGTTAATTTACTTAAACTAATACAAACAGTTCGGTACATCATACGTAGACATGATCAATCCATGTCAAAGTTAAGGAAGTCCTGGCAGTCGCGTCACGACTGTTAGTTGCTAGACTAGATTTCATTTCAACCTAAAGAATTTTTCAGAGCTCAAGAAGCTATACCCATGCAGTCATGATTACCCAACAGTACTTAGTTCTATTCAAATGAACATTCTTCATGCGCATCAAGCAGAGATTGAAAGATAATTTCCACAAGACAGATGAGCACAATTAAATTCTCATAAGAAAGAATCCAAAAATGCAATTTGAATTTTTTTAAAATTAAGAATCAATAAAAATTTAAGTAATTTAAAATATAAATTCCGAAGAGATAGAAAGCACGGGTAATTAAAAGTAAAGGAAAGAAAAAAAAGTAAAGACTGTTAATTATCGAAAAAAATAACCTTAAACCACATCTCGATGGAAAGAATTAAACGAGCTTCAAAAAAAAGCGCATGAAGCAGCGAGAAGAGAAGAGCAAGAGCAAGTGGTGTTATGAATGCTTACAGTTAGTTTATGTGATTACCAATTTTCATTTTTAACTTGTTGTTGCTATTGCTGTGCGGTTCTGTTTCTTCTTTTTATTCATCTTTTCTTATTCGTTCATCGTTAAACATGAAATATTTTGACTTGAATGATTTTTTTTTCTTTCTCACTTTTCTTCAAACTTAAAAAGTTATTTTTTAATTTCATGCGAAAATGCGCTAAGAAAAGCAAACAATGATCGATCGACAGGTCTAGAAATGAATTTATCATCGCGAAATAAAATAAAAATTATTTTATAAACGAAATAATGAAAAAGAACCGTCAATTTTCGATTCGTGATGAAAATTGATTTGATCTTCTTTTGCTGTATTTTCGGGTATGACTTTCTTATTTTTTGTCACAATTTCTTCGGGGATTGAAAATTAGATTCAATGAATTGTTTGACTTGTGTTGTGCTGGATAATATACATGCGTTTATAGTATGTTGATATTTTCCTGATTTTATTATCCTTAATCATTTCAATTTGAGTAAGAACAACAAATTTCTTGAAAATTTGTCATTTAAATTCAATTTTGTGCTAATCTCCTGTGAGCTTAATTTCAAATCTACTTTGAATACAGAAGTTCGCGTTACTTTAAAATATTTGTAATTTAATTTTTTTTGGGATGTAAAGGAACTGGGCAGTTCCAGTGTCTAATCATACCTTTAGCTAAGAAA